GTTTTATTTCTAGCTCAGTAGTAAGAAGTCAGTGGGTCTCTACTGAATAATAATAAACAACAAGAGTAATAATAAGAAAGAATTATGAAATGAAATCACTCACCTAGCTCAGTAGTAAGAAGTCAGTGGGTCTCTACTGAGCTAGGAGGGGAATGGGGAGAAAGGAACTAAGTACCGTAGAATTTATGATTATGTAATAATGTGTGAACCTCTTGTGAAACCTGTACTGGGTGTAGGTTTCACAACAACTATCGAAGTTAGAAATGTCTACTATTGTGAGCATGCAAGATCTACGCTGTTTTCAATAGCGGCTTTCAAGAAGTCTAACGCTTGCTTCCGGGTCAATGGCAACTTTGATTCAATAGATTTGCTGTCGAATTCAGGATCACTCTTAATACGGAGCTCTTTGGATGAATTGCGGAACATGTGGCCGGTAGGCAAACCATTTCGTGCTGATTCAAATCAAGTTATCACCAAGACGCAACCTTTTGTACATACTTTACATCTGCCAGAAATCAAGAGCGTTTTTAAATCACCCAACCTTATTGAGCACAGTGAGTTCACATGGAGAACTGAAGAGCTATCTCCCAATTAGAAGGTCTTGCTGTTTTGGCATTGACTATTTGGGCATGCTAGCCTGAGACAAATTTTGCCGACTTGTCAAGCTTAAACTAGGGTACGGCCTCCCGGAAACAATGCCATCGGGCTTGATCAAATGCCCTGTTTGCTCCATATGCAAAGCCACAAGGACTTCACACCTGGGACCAACCGGGAGGGCGATTGAAAAGCTGGGTGTTGTATGCATGGACTTGATGGGACCTTTCAACCCACCCACTATGACAGGCGGCAAGTATGCTTTGACAATTAGGGATGCGTACACGAGCTATAGTGAAGTGAAAATCCTTAAGCTGAAATCAGACGCAACAAAGCTGACCAAAGAGACAATAATTAGGTGGGAGAAGCAAACTGACAGCAAAGTGAAGATACTGCGATCGGATAATGGTGGAGAGTTCGAGTCAAAGGTCCTAGAGGACTTCCTAGTGTCAAAAGGGATAGTAGCCGAGAGATCGCTCCCCTATCATCATTTTCAAAATGGGATCATCGAGAGATACAATCAAACAGTTGCTGACATGGGACGTAGTGTGCTGTATGATAGCAAACTAGGCAAGGAATTCTGGGGATACGCTTTTATGTGGGCGGCCTGGACTCTGAACAGGATACCCAACAAAGTGACCAAGCAGATGACACCATACGAATGTTTTGTCAACGAGAAACCCCAGCTGGACAAAACCCGTGTGTTTGGATTGACAGCTTATGTACTTGTGGCGCCCAAGAAACGAATCAAACTGGACGAGCATTTGATAGAAGGGTTGGGTCAATTTCACTCCTTGGAGGAGAGTAAAGGAATGGGAGTCTTCTACATTCCCAACACAAAAAAGAATTGTGAATTT